TGGAAACTGCTGGTTTGTGTGTGTTGTGGGGAGGAGAACCCTCCCCGTTAGCCTGCTTCAGTGCTCGATGAGGCCTCAAGAAGCACCTGAGGCTGGAGTTGGGGCCTGGGCTACATGGACATAAAATAGATCACACAGAACCTAAACCATCTCACCAGAACAAAGTCAGACCATTAAAAAGTACTAACAAGGGGAGCCTGGGTGGCTCAGTCGGCTAAGCATCAGCCTTCGGCTCAGGTCATGGTCCCAGGGTCCTGGGATCGAGCCCCATGTCAGGCTCCCTGCTCAGTGGGGAGTCTGCTTCTCCCTCTGCCTCTGCCCCCCTGCTTGTGATCTCTCTCTCTCTCTCTCTCTCACTCTCTTTCTGTCTCTCAAATAAATAAATAAAATCTTTGAAAATAAAAAAGTACTAACAAGAGGCACTCTTTCGTTTGGAAAACCAGAGTTTTCCATGTGCAAAACAACAATTGAACCAATTAACTGTTCAGTTTGCAGTCCCATCACTGAGCGGGTCACTTTGAAGCCGCAAGTCTGGGGAACCCTGGGACAGTCACTGCCCCAGGAAACCCCCGTCCCCAAGCTCCTTATTTATGTCCCAGGCGATGCTCTGGGTCTACAAAAACCCTCTTGGAGAACAGGCTTCCCTTCCCGTTGGGAACCAGTCGGCACACAGAACTTGACTGCTGAAGCCGTCTTCCTGCCAGGATTCAGCAGTCCGGTGGGTGTAGAGACTGAAGTGCTTTGGAATCAGGGATGCCCCTCGGGGCCCTCAGAGCTGCGGGTCTGGTGTGCTGCAACCCAGGGCCTTAACATCCGAGGCGTTTGCTGCTGTCAGTGTGAGGTCTTCTAAAGCAGGCACCAGGGCCCAGTGGGGCTCTAAGCTCCTGCCCAGCAGAGAGAACCTGAGACCCCCTCCCTCTCAGGCAGAGTTGGAGCAGCCCTGGAGCTCCGGAGACCCAAAATGGGAAAAAAGGAGAGGACCCAGATGGCTTCTGCCGGCACCCTCAGACTGATGTCGAACATGATCAAGGTGTGAAGCCAGGCGTGAGGGTGAGGTGGGAGCCTGGCAGGCTAATCTGTCAGCAACTCAGACCATATGGCACGTCCCCTTTTCCTCCCAACATCTAGGTCACACATACGTTCGCACCCTGCCCACCACCCTGAGCAACGCAGGAAGACCCTGCCAGCGGGTCCTTCAAGGGCCTGTCCCTCGTGCACCCTCCACGCAACCCTGCTCCTAGGCCACAGGCCCTTCCAGAGCCCAGGGCTCATCTGAAGACAGCCACAGGCCTGGGACACTTGTCCCCGCTTGCCGACCTCCAACCGTTGGGCTAACCCCCACAGAGGCAGGGGTACTCAGTCAGGCTGGGGCAGATTGGAGCCATCCTCTGAGTTATTTTCATTCCATTTGATTGAAATAACACTGAATTTTTTTAAGTGCAAATTTTAAAGTGAAAGAGGGATAAAACAATGGGCAAAGAAAAGTGCCTTTGCTCCCAGCTGCATGAGCCCGCAGGGAAAGGTGTGCAAGCAGCACAAGGCCAGCCTCAGCAACACGGAAGATAAAAAAGACACCGACTGCCAAGTATTAATCTCTCCTCTGTGAAGCTTGATACAAGCCTGAGAGCAAAAGCATTTTAAGTCAGGTGAAAAACGTCCCCCTTGTTTCGTTTTGAAGGTTTTCCTAAGTGACATTCGGGAAAGACGGAAAGTATGCTGAGAACATGGAGACATTCCGCCCTGGAGCCTCCAGCAAGCGCTCTGGGCTGGGCAGCTGGTGGCCCCTCGTCAGGGGCTCCCAAGGAGGACAGACCCTGGGGTCTTCAGGGAGCACAAAGCCCACCTGGGAGGCAGGACCTGCGGCAGCTGTGCTAAGTCCTTCTGGGAAACACAGCATTTTTCGGGCTGACTAATCTCCAAATGTTGCTGGCTCCCAAAGACCATTTTCCTGTAAACTCACACCACAAAATTCCTGTTAAAATTACATCGGTAGACAAACAAATTCTGGTTTATTCATGAGTGAGTTCACAAGGGAAGAGCAGAGAGGGCAGCTCTAGAAGCTGGGGGGAGCAGAGGGAGGGGTCCCCAGCCAAGCACTCCTCTGAAGCCAACAAAAACGAGATCTGGAGTGGGTCTTCCAGGGCCAGGACAGGAGCTGGGTTTATCTTTCCCACATGCCTGAGTAACATGCAAGTTTGACTGGCTGCCCAGTGCCCTGCCTGCCCCAGGATCAGGTGACTACTGACAGTCCCCGCCTGCCTGGCAGACTCACCTCGGCCCTGCCAGCCAGGCCAGCTTCCTGCCTCCTGGTCCACTCCAGGCCCAGTGCTGACCAAGGGGTTCTGGTCGCTCCTGGTCCCACTTTCCCTACGCAGGTGGGGGTTGAGCAGCCCCAGGCCTTGCTCACTTTTCACCCAGCAGACACGCCTCTTGTACGGAGTCCATCCAGGAGGCGCTCAGCCCCACCAGCCTGCCCACTGCCATCCAGGCTGTGGTAGGAGGCCCAGGGGGTATTTCTCTGCTACACTGTCAGTCTGCTATCTCTGCCCAGTGCTGGTCCATGCAAACCATCGCGCAGGTGTGGGCACCACCAGGAGCGTGGTCAGCCCGGCTCTGTGTTACACACATCTCCACTCCCCAAACAAAATTGGCACAGATCCCCCCCACCCCCACATGCTCACACAGAGCCACCCATGTCCTCATGCACCCACTCAGCGACCCCAGGCCAGAGGACAATGGAGCCCGCAGGGGAGGGGCCTGGGCTCTGGGCAGCACCAGGGAGAGTGCCCTCCACAGCCAGGGCCAGGCAGCTGGCCAAACCCCAGCCAAAACCTGCACTGCCACAGGCCTGGGGCGCCTCTGAGTGCCCAGCGGCCTCTCCCTGATGCCTCCGGCCACTGACGGGGCTTCCTGGGAAATGCTGCTGTGACCCGCCGCCCCAGCTCAGAGACGGAGCAACTCGGCAGCCCTGAAGTCTCTGCCCGCAGGTTCCCCTCCCTCAGGCACAGGAACACTCAGGGCAGTGAGCCACAGCTGCCTTTCCCAGAATCTTCCAAGAGCGCCCAGAGCATTGGCTCCGAATATCTGGGACTGCTTCCAGACGTGTGGCCAATGCCTGAGGGTCACACAGGCCCCCTGGGTTACACTTTAGATAGAAGCAGCTCCCCTGCCCTGGTGAGTTCCCAGGCCCACATCTGGGCCCTATGGTCCAAGGAAGTCAGAGCTCAGCTGGTTCCAGGATGGACAGGCCTCCACGTCAATCTCTTCACAGCCCCTGCTGAGCCCCCTAGATCCTTCAACATCCTGTGATATCAGAGGGTTACCCAGGTGCCGGGGGCCTCAGTCTCCTGCTCCAGAGCACAGAAGGGGTCACGGAGCTGCAGCCTCCTCTTTGCAAACAAACTAACCTCTAAACCTGACCAACCTCCTCTGCACAGTGAATTCTGGGGAGACAGGCAGAGTCCTGCCCTGTTGGTGACACCTTCCTCACTGGCACCACAGAACTCCAATCTCTGCTCTCCCACTCTTTTGTTTACCATTAATTAACGGGGCCATATGGAAGGAGGTGATAATCACAGCCAAGGACCAATGGGAAGGGAGCCCTCGTGGCCAGGAGCCTGGGCCTCTCCCCAGCGCCCGCCCAGCCCCAGGCAAGGACACCCGAGCACGGGGCTGGAGTGAGGGCATGGCAAGCTCCCTCAGCATCTCAAGGGGCAGGGTCCAAGCCTCTCACCAAGACTGAGGCTCACCTCCTCCAGGTTTGTCCCGACATTCCTCCTGCCTTTTGTTCACTCAGCCACTAGCCCCAGAGATGTCCTCAGCTTTCTCTAATCTCTGGTTGTTGTGGTGGTGGTCGTTGTTGTTTAGACCCCCGGGGCAAAATCCCTCACTTCCCCCTCCCAAAAGGATAATAATAATAATCATCATCATCATCATCACTGTCATTAGCACCATCAGAATGACATATGGAAAGGATTGCCCACTACCAGACACACCTCTCAGAGGTTTTGTTTCAGAAATTACATACCCAACCGGGCCAGGAATGAGGCCCCACTGACGCAAAGGTGGCAGTAAGACCACAACAGCCCTCCGTGATTCAGAGACAGTGAGCAGGACCCTCGTGGTGAGAACCCACCGCCACAACACCAGAGCCACACGAGGCATATTTATTTCCTGATTCACAAAGAAGAAGTGAATCCAAAGGACAGAACAAAGTCCCTAGCCCCAGAACACATCATCTCACAGGCAACGGCATTATGTTGTACAAAGCTCATACCATCTTCCTGGCCAACCCTGATTTCTAGTTTTAAATACACAAATCCAGTTACATTAATATTATAAACAACCACACTGCTGGCCCCCCTTGCCGCAGGAAAAGCAGCTGAGAAGAGCAGCCGGTATTTAGTTCTGTGCGCCTATCCCACAGACACATGCACCCTAAATGCTGTTTCCTAAGTTTAGAAATACGTGACTCGCAAAGACAAAATGCTCACATGACCATCTCTCTTCCGTGTCTTGGATGGGGGGCTCACACGAGGTAGCAACTCTGAGATCCCTGCTCCAGAGAGGTCTTCTGCTTAAGGAGGCAGCATTTTCCCCCACCACATAGCTGCTGGGTCCCACGACTGCCGATATATCTGTGTTCCTCGTCCAGAAATGCACATAAAGTTTCTTGTCTTGGTACACAGCCCCCAGTGTCTTTTCTGTCAGACGCACTACATGTCCACTAGACTCTCAGAGAGGCCAAGCGCGTGAACAAGCAGGGGAGGGACAGAAGAAGAGAAGGAAAACAGCCACGGGCAGACCCGGCAGGAGAAGAAAGGCTCAGTCCAACAGAGCAGCTTTAAAAAGCCATCCCCAGACCTGCTTTTCCTGCAAAGAACGCCTTCATCTTAGAAATTAACTCTGCTCGCGCGCCCTCTCCCTGTCTCGGTCCGAGGGGAAGAGCCAAGCACTTGGATATCTGCCTTTGTCAGCGAAAGAGCATAACATGGACTTACCTTTCCCCACAGCTATTGTCTGTCCTCCTTCAAAATGACATCACGGAAAGCAATCATGAAATTTACATGGGGGGTGCAGGGTGGACGGGGGAGGAGAGGGGAGGCAGCTGCCTCCCTTACAGCGGTCACATGTGGGGAAGCCTGTGTGCGGGTTTCAATTAAATATCTTCTCCCCTTAGTGTGCGACTCCTAAGCCAGCTAAAGGCGACGTCTCATTTACTTAATGACCGCTCTCATTAGCAGCGGTGGCACGGGCTGGCGGAGAGGCTCCTTTGTAAATACGCTACCCATGAACCCTTGGGGCTCCAATATATCTGTTTACTCTCCGAGGTGAAATAAATTTACAGTATAGCATCAGAAAGATGGATCTGCTGACTTGGAAAGTGAGAGGTGCCCGGGCCGGCAGAGCCCCTGTCTCCTGCTCCAAGCATCAGCCCACAGAAGGTGGCTGTGTTTGCCCACACTGTATCATAATTAATATGCAGCATGATTGGGTTTTTTTTATGCAGAACACACAGAAGGGCAGAGAGCGTCACAACCGCCATACTCACCCCCCTGTGCTGTCTCCACCAGTGGTTCAGTCCAATAATTCCTAATAGCAGCAACCGGAATGACAGATGCCCTGGGTTAGCACGGCTGCAGCGAAAGTACTTTACAATATTTATTGGTGGTTAGGAATATGACCTACCATCATAAAGAACGGACTGCAGAATTTATTACTCAGATGAACCAGGAGGGGTGCATACTGGTTCATCTGCATGTTCAAGTATCAGTGCCTTCAAAGGATAGGTATATATTTTTTAAAGTTCGTAAAAGGTGCCTATGGCCACAGACCCAAAACTAGTCATACACACAAAGAAAAGATCAGGAAAAAGATATTTTTCTTTTATCACACATTCTCTTTTTGGCTTAAATTTTAAAATAATAAAATCCTCTCAATGAGATCTCGGGCACAAGTCCTCTATGCCCCAAAACCACTAAGTTAGTTTATCCCAGCCAGAGGGAAACACACGGCTCAAGTTCTCTGCTCTGTCTTTTTGAGTCTTTTTAAACTGCATCACAGACACAATGGAACTGCCCACCTACACTTCAAGCAACCGAATTGTTTTCCACTTTCAGGAATACATGTAGGAACCTCCTCAGCAAGAGTACCCAGGAGCCAGGGTGTTCTTGCTTACTACCCAAACTTCTTTTTCCTCCCGATAGATCAGGCAAACGAGTGTCCGTGATCGTCATCAGGTTGTTAGAAACTGTGCCGTGAGACAGGACACAGGCTGGGTTTTAGATGCCCGTGACGAGCGGCTGTCTAAGACCAGCACAGAAGCACGCCAGCCCCGCAAAGTTCAGGGCAGAGATTTCAACACAGTAAATATCATTTCCTGCTATGTTATCCAGGAGCACAAGCCTCCCAACTTAATCAGCACTAAATGGCTCAGGCCACCAGAAGCATGAATTAGGCTTAGAACATTTAGCTTCCTCTAAGAAAACATGTTTTGAAAATCAGCTGAAACTCTCCACAAGCAATTATTTTTAACATGCAGTGCTACAGCCTACATTCCATGCAAACCAACGAGCTTCGTCCTAAAGGCAAGTATGTTCGGTTCTTGCACACACATACACACGTTCTTCTCAACAAACAAAATGCACAATGTGCCCAGGGCAATCTTTTAGATTGAGTAAAAGGAAATAAACTCAAGCGTTCACTGGTCAAACTGAGGATGAAATATTAATTAGCCAAATGAGAACAGTTTGAGGCTCCTACAATGACTGCCTACCATTGTTTTTATTCTTTTGTGAGCTCATATCCATTAGCATAGAAGGACATATTCAGTTGAGAGCTCTCCTGAAAAGCCATTTTCTGTCTCCTCCGGACACGCTGTGAGTGCTGGGATATTTTACATCCCAAACCTTTGGCATTCAGAAATTCTATTAAACTCTTATCGGCAGGCTGCAGGCTGAGGCAGCCCTGCACGCCATTGTTCTGCTAGGAAGATAGAATCAAAGGGAGGGCCGGTGCTGAATCAGCCGTATTCCCCAACAATACCCAGTGTTTCATGAAAGTATTTAATTCAGATATGTGACAGTCAAACTTAGGGGACAACAACCAACAGAAGCGACAACAGGGAGAGATCAGTATGAGGACAACACACAGACCTGGTGCACATAATTAGCTTTCCAGGTAACATAAATCGTATTTGTGCAAACCTCTGCCTCTCAGCATTGCACACCTCCCCCATGGAGCAAGCACAGCGTCCTGAGGAGTGTAGCTCCGGTGGTTGGGATCGCGCTCCACCTGAGGCTGCTTGAGTGAGCATTTCTGAATGTGCTTGGAAATTTCAAATCAGTGCCTCTTCCAAGAACCTGGAGAGAAGCCCCGGGAACTCCCACTGGGAGGTTACAGTTGAATGAGCCGTTTCAGAAGATGGGTTTTGATGAGTAAACGTTCAAAATCTTTAGCCGACTCCATCTAGGGAACAAAGAGGGGTTATAGGCAAGGAGCAGGGAAGGGACTGTGCTGGCAACTTGCTAGGGTCTGGCTTCTTGCTCCAGCCTGAGCAGTGGGTGCGGACGCGCCTGCGGTCTGATCAGCACTTTGGACAGCGCTCCCTCCCCCGGAGCTGGGCCCTTTGTTCTCCACACACTGACGTCTTGTCAGGACTCTGGGCTGGGAGAAGCGATTTTAAAACCCAGGCTCCCAGCCATGCCGGCGAGTGACAACAGCAAGGTGTAAGCGAAAACTTTCTGATACAAGGTGAAAAGCTGTCAGGATTTTTTTAGTCATAAAATATTTTCTTTTCCATAACTAAGAATGGAGTACATTGTTCCTTTAAGCTTTATTTCATAAGAATCTGTGGGCAAGTTGCACGTGACTTTTAAGTTTGGGAGATGCACAGGGGAACAGCCTCTGACTAGAGGGTCCCCAGAACCCTGCACAGGGAGAAAAGGGGGAGATTTGCAAAACCAAACTTGTGGCTGCGGCACTTGCTAAGGAATTGCTTTGTGGGAATTGGGAGAAGCAGGCTTCATGATTGCTTCGCTGGTAAGATCATTTCAAATAAAATGTAATTACTTGTGCAAATCTGCACACAGACATTCCAAGTGTCAGTTCATTTGCTTCATAAAAACTCTTTCAAGTAATTTTGGTCTAAACTTTCTGCATCTGTAATTGGCACCTTCTCCAGTGACCAGCTGGGGGTGAGAGTTTTCTTGTTTCCTCCTGAAAGCTTCCCTGCAGATGGGCGCCTGCCTTAAAGCTGCAGACGACAATTAGGGTCGTTGTGTGTGGAGCCGAGATGGTCAGCATTAATATTGTATAGGGACAGCTGAGTGCGAGGGGGCTGCTGCCCCAGGCAGGCTCTGGCAGATGGAGCAAACAAAACCGAGAGCCCCTTACCAACACCCTGGGCTGACTCTGTGTGCCTGTCTCACACTTGCTGGGTTGTGAGCCTTTCACACACACGCACACACACACACATGCTCTGGGCCCTATTGTGGGATGGTTTTATGCTGGGACGTCAAACATACCAACCCTCTGACACTGTGTGAACACACATTCTCAGACACACACATGTTTGGGAGGATATTGTGGGGCTCACACACTAACTCTTGCCCTAACACTGTGTTAATGTTTCAAACACAGACACACACGCACAGCAACTCTGCACGTGCTGGGAACGCAAACAGCAGTAGTCCCAGTCAAAGCCTCTCTACCACGGCTAGTCTCAGGTGCACATCGGTCATACACATGCCTTCTTTCCACCTCACCTTCCCCCAGAGCCTCATGGCCCCTGCATCGGGGCACATACAGCCCCACCCACTGTCCTCACCTTCAACCTTTGAAGGCAAGCCCACAAACAGGGCAGCCTTGACAGTTCTGCAAGACACACAATCCGCTGGAAGGAGAGGCGTCAGGCCAAAGACCCTGGCCTCACTCAGGAGGGAGCATATGTCTATCGCCTCCTCGGCTGCCCAGAAAAGAACGCTGAGTGCTGACGGACACACAGCTAATTAGTCCCCTTGGTGTCCTGGCAGAAATGTGTGAACAGACCCAGGGAGGGGTGTGCAGGGCTGGGGTAAGGTACGCACCCAGGAAGGTCCCGCAGAGCGTCATCCTGGCTGGGCGGGCACACCTTGACTCCGAAGCCTGGACACACAGTCACATCATGCTGGAAAAAGTTGCTACACAAACTTCCGTGTCCCGGGCCCTGGGGAGGCTCCTTCTCATCCAGCCAATCAGGGCCAGGGAGCAGATAATCACAAACTGATGCCCTGCCAATGAGGCTCCCTTCCCCACACAATGGGTCTGGAAACCCCAGACAATGAGCCCCTCCTGCAGGTGGGGGAAAGCGTAGCCTCCTCTCACTGGGGGAAAAACAAATGAGGGAGGGGAGGGGCTCTTCCCAAAGATGCTTCCTCCTCCCCTCTCCCACTTTCCCCCTCCCCCCTGGATTCTTTCTCCCCTCCTCCCCCCTCCCCTTCCTCCTCCCACTTCCCCTTCTCTTTGCCGCACTCCAGACAAAGTCGGGCCAGAAACCTGGTGGGAGACCGGTCTGGATGGGGTGGGGTGGGATCACGTCTGGGGAGTCCTTGCCTCTCCCTAACATGATGGCTGCCAAGGGGACAGAACCCTGTGCCCTTGAACTATGGACTACCCACCACCCAGGTCGGGAGGCTTGGGGGCAGGGGTGGGGGAAGGTGAAGGGAGGTCCAGAAACTCACTCCCTCAGAGGTGGAGGGTTAGGAGGTGTGGAACTTGCAGGGACAAAGGGAAGAATTCGGCTTTGGACCTCCAGCTGCTCCCCAGACCAGGGATGGGGAGGGCAGGGTGGCGGTTGGGGGTGGGGGTAGAGGGTGGAGGAGTCCTTTCTAGGATAACCTCTCTTGCCTCATTCCATGTCCATGTCCATGACCCTTCACTGCCCACCAGTGCCCTTTGGAAAAGTGACTGGACCTGGCTGGACATTCCCAGCTTCGAACCTGGCCATCCCCTCCACCAGACTTCCCCAATGCTGGGAGGAAGCTCCCACTCACCCCCAAGGCAAGTCAGATCCCATCCTCAGCTCTGGGAGGTGTCTACCCCCTACAGGTAGAGGCCTGGGTGCACTGTGGGGCAGCTGAGGCCCACAACAGGGGTCTTACATTCACTGACTCTAGGGCAAGCCTGGAAGCTAAGGCCAGGTGGGGCTCTCCAGGCCATGAAGGGCCCCAGGCATGGACCCTTGCAAGGAGAGAGGGTCAGATGAAACCCCATGCCTGCCAGAGCATTCCTCTAGAGCAGAAGGCCTCAGAGCTGGCCTTTC